CGCCTCCGTCCTTCGTCCCGACCCCATCATCCGCCCGCCTCATGCCCACGCCAAGACGCCGCCCTCATCTCTCTGTGTGACGTCGGTCGCCCCTGAGCCCCTCCTCTCTCTCCGCACGGGCGGCACTTAGGAGTCGGCTGAGGACGAGCACATCCCAACGCACCCCAACCACAGCACCACCGTCTGCCGACCCCTAGTGCCCCTATCCGCCGGCCCCCCGGCGCACCACGCGCCCAGTCCGCTCGCCCCCGGCCGAACAATATAAAACACTTGCAACATGTGTGTGGAACACATGAAACATCCCAAATTACGACTTGCAACATGCTTCTAAAACACTTGCAACATATACAACATGTGCAACATCTCCGGATCTACTTTTACAACATCAAGATGAAACAATTGCAACATACATCTGAAAACACTTGAAACATACATATGCAACATAAGGGAGGGAAAAGGCCGGGGCAACAACCGAGAAATCAGGCTTCGAACAACACCATGCCAAGCGCCGCAGATCTACGCCGGCATGTGGCAGCCGGAACATGCATGGTGACTCGCGAGAGTGGCAGACGGGTACCCCTGCGGATCGAGCAGCCCTAGACCTCGCGGAGCACGACCTTGTCGAGGTCATTGACGCCCTTGCAGTGCCTGACGGACACCACCTCCTGCTTCTCCTCGCCAGCCGGTGGCGACGACGCCAAGGCCGACATGCTGTCCTTTCACCGGACCGAGCTGTAGCGAGTACCGCACGCCGAGGCCGAGCGGAGCGGAGCAGTGGAGCTCGAGGGAGGGAGAGGAAGCGAAGTGGAGAGAGGTAGGCCGGAGGATGGCTTGGCTCGAGGTCGGTTTGGGGAATTTTTGGACAGTGCCCCTGTGCGTGCGTGTTGGGTTTTTGAGAGAGAGCAGACGAGGATGAGCCGCATCCGGATGGGACGGACGCATGTGGGCCAGCATTATCGTACATGGAAGGCTTTTCAAGGCTGAGGCTGGGCCATGAGACCGTTTTATGGGCTGACGGAATTTGTGGGCCGCGTTCTGGCCCACGCGATCGTACGGTAGAGTCCTTCGAAATTCCTGCGCCGACTAAGGAATGGAACCAACCACCGAAAGCCCTAGCCACCCGCGGCGCGCGCGTGGTACCTGCCGTCGTCCCCTCCTGCTCCGACGACAACCCCGCACCGCCCGAGCGGCGCCATATGCCTACCATGGCGCTGCGCTATCTCTCCAGGGCGATCAACACCCCCGCTGCTCTTCGGCTGCTGGCCCCGGGACCCCGCGTGGCACCGTCGTCATCGGTGCCCCCTCTGGGCGCCCTTGAGACCCCTCGCCTCCCGCTCCTCTCAGGTACTTCTTCTTCCTCCTCCTCTTCTTCATGTCTTCAGTATTATATACAATCAGCTGGTAGTGCTTTTATATCTCAGCTGCATTTTGTCTCGATCTCTATCCTAGGTTGGACCTGGACACAACAATGATGTTCCTGATGAGTCTACCACGAAGGTGATGACGACGAAGAAGAAGAAAACTTGTCGGACATCCACAGGAAAGCAGCAGGCAACTGAAAAAGCGGTTGGTAGGAAGATAAAGAAAATCGATAGGTCGTTGACAGGAAACGAATAAGTCATACAAAGGGAGACAGTTGGAGCAGCTCACTGGTAGAGAAACTAGTTCTAGTCCCGATTCCCAACCCCTTTAGTCCCGGTTTGGTCTCGATTTTTAGTCCCGGTTCCTATAACCGGACTAGAGGTGTTTCTTGGGTGAAAAAAAGGTGTGGTGATGGAGATTCAAACCCAAGACCTTCCAGTTCAGATCTTGCGCATGTTACCATCTCACCTCCCACCACACATCTAACTTAGATGAGATACACTTTCCTTTTAAATTCACTCTGTAGACACCTTTAGTCCGGTTTTGAGACACAAACCGGGACTAAAGGCACCTTTAGTCTGGGTTTGTGTCCCAAACCGGGATTAAAAGTCACACTTTTAGTCCGGGTTCGTGTCTCAAACCGGAACTAAAGCTTCTCACACTGACACGCCTCGGTAACCGTTACAACCAGGATTAAAGGGTGGAATTAGTCCTAGTTCGTATTACAAACCGAGACTAAAGGTCCAGTCCTCCCTTTAGTCACGCTTGCAATTTTGAAATCGGGACTAAATACTTTTTGGCCATGGATGAAAGGTTGTTTGTCTGCTAGAAGCTACTAGCAAGACGGAAACAATGAACAAGCCACAAGGAAAAGAGGAAGTTGAAGAGGCTAGTGAGATGGAGATGGAGAAGACAAGAATCGCAGGAGAGGAGATACTCGAGGTGGCTAGTAATGATAAGCCGGAGAAGAAAACTGATGGTTTGTCATTCATGGTAGAGGAACAAGTCACAGGAAAGGAGATAGTTCAAGTGGTTCGTGAGACGACGGAGAGCGAAACTGATGGATCCGACTCTGACGTGGGAGAGGAAGAGGAACTCATGACAGATGAGGAATTTGAACGAGTATTCGCTGAAGTTAACGAATTGTTAGCTTACACAACAAGGTATGATTCATGCATGCACCTAGCTAGCTATATACATTATATAAATCTCAGATAAAACCAACGAGTAACTAATAGTGTCCTAACAACAGTAAGATACATTGTTGATGCGCTATAGTCTGTCTTTTAATTTGACAGAGATGCCATCTACGATAGGTTTTCTCTTGACAGAGAGTTCCTCATGGTGAGATTGAGCAAGAAGAAGCCCTTCGTGCAGGCCATGTACTTTTATGTGAGGGATTTGTTGTTGGAGCTAGAGAGCAGGAGGAGGAGGGAGAGGGACGACGGGGGAGCTGATCTGACTGACGATGCTCATGGAGATAATGGAGATTAATATATACTCCTAGCAAGGACGACAGGATATCTCAAACTGAATAAGCCCATTCTTCTTCTTCTTCTTTTAAAAAAAGTGAATAGTCTGCATGCATGCGCGGCTTGGTGTTGCAGCTAGAGGTGACATGTGACAATAATGTGGTAATGCTAGTGCACTCTGTGTGTGGCACCTTGTTGATAATTACAATTACAAAGCATCGGCGTTTGTATGGAGAAAAAATATTTATGCGTGCTTATTTTATTTAAGACCTTGTCAATTGGGTGGGATTTCTTCGTGTCGTACTGCTGTGGCTTGCGGTTGAGTATGTTTAGACTCGCTCACTTTATGTTTTCTTGTCGCGTTCATGCATGCATGCATGTAGAAGGAAAGAGTGTACGACAGTGACAAGTTGTAGCATTTGCAATGCAGTGCCCGTGAACAAGACAGACTGCACTAGTACCGCGCATCTGCCTGCGTGATGCCTTGGCGAGGCTTTTCCTGATCCGTTTCTAGGGTGATAAGTGCGACTGATGCTAGTTCGTTGTGAGAGAAAAATATTATTAGCTGACTGACAAATTTTGGTTGAAATCCACCAGCGAACATGCCGGATGTATACTATTTGATATACACACAAATTGAGTACTTAGAAAAAGATGGACAGACAAGAGCATCACGTAACCACAGTTAATCAGCCAGTTTATTGGTTGGTTTTTGGCTGATAAACCTAGTTGATGCTAGTTTGTTATAAGAGAAAAATACTATATCATAACTGATAAGCTCTAACTAAAATCAACCAGCGAACCGGGAATGAATGAACAAGACAGAGTCAAAGTCACAACTAATACCGTGTGTTGAATAAATTAAAATTAGCTCCGGACGAAATTATAATTGGAGCCTGTCACGCGCATTATGTCCACTTACCGATCACCACGTAGACTCATTTTTTATATATAAAAAATCTCATAATGTCTACTACCTACTAACCCAAACTGAACATATAAGCAGTTCCTTCCTTCTTCTGAACATGGCATCCAGCTGCCTCCTCCTCCGATCCTCCACACACGTTCATCCCTAATCCCTTCAGTTCCAGCGGCGGTACGGTAACGACCTAATTCGTCTTCCTTCTATCTTCCGTAGCATCTCCGCTGTTGTGCTTACCATCTTCGTTCTCTTCTCCCTTGTTGTCCGGAGACTCCGCAGGCCCTTGACGACGGGTTGACCCCATTTTGGAGCCGGCAAATTGAAGGAGAGAGAGTCTCTGTCTCTGAACGAAGTTGTTGCTGAGGAGGCGGAATGGGGAGCGAAATCCTTCGCCAGGTCTAGGAACTACCCATCCGGATCCGGGATTGCATCCTTACTAGTCATTGTTCAGTTTAGTGGGGGATTGAAGGGAGATTATTGAAGAGGATTGAAGAGGATTGAAGGGATTGAAGGGGATTCTATCCTCAAAATCCGCCCTTAAGCAGTACCAACGGATGCTCTCAGGTACTTCTCAGTCACTGTTTAACTAAAGTTTATAGATGCAGTTAAGGCTTTTTTTTTTCCAATGAGGGAATACAAACATTGAAAAGGAATAGTACTAACAAAACATGAGTGAGGCTTCTGCCTATCAATTTTTTTTTAGGTGATTCAGAGATTAGAGATTTGTATGCGATTTGGAGTTAGCAAACTGAGCAGCTGACACTTCAAATGGCAAAGAACCGACTCTCAAAAAATGGCAAAGAACAGAGCTTGCTGAGTTTGTGCAAAAATTTGTGTACATAATTGTTTACTAAAACTGGGACATTTTTTTTACTAGGGGCTAGGATGAAATTTGAGACCTCCTATTGTAATTCTAAGTCAACAAAGTGCTTGCATAAAGCACAAACTCCGATTTGGAGGCAGGGGCTAGGAGGTCTGTCAGTCATGTCTTGGTGGGGATGTAGGTCTGTCAGTCATGTCTTGGGGATGGAGGTCTGTCCGATTTGGCTGATGTTTTCCCTGGTTTTGTGCTTTTGGGTGTTGGTTGTTGTTGCTATTGCTAAGGGGGGGCTGACAGACTTGTTACTTGGTCTGCATGCTGGCCCTGGCAGGAAATTTCTAACAAAGTGTTTGTATAAAGATCCCACATCTTTTTCCTTGGCAGGACACACTGAGAGATTCTAAGTGCTGGAAGGGAAATAATGATGGAGAAAATCATGGTGAGTGCTGCTTGTGGGGTGATGAATTCCCTGCTGCGCAAGCTCGCCGCTCTACTAGAGAAGGAACACATGCTACTAATAGGTGTGAAGCACAACATTATCTTCTTAAGAGATGAGCTTACTAGCATGAACTTGCTCCTCTTCAAGCTGGCAGACATAGAAGATCTCGACATGCAAGTGAAGAAGTGGAGGAATAAGGTACGAGAGCTAGCCTACGATATCGAGGAATGTATTGACAATTTTATGGTCAATGATAGGCCCAACGCAAGCCTTGTTCGGAAGACGGTAGGCTAGATAAAGAAGCTGTGGTTTCGACATGATATTGGCAAACAGATCCAGGAACTCAAAACCCGTGTTGTGGAGGAGAACGCTCGCCGCTATAGATACAAGCTGGATGATTCAACCTTCAGGCCAGCAGTGGTGCAAATTGACGATCGTCTCAAGGCATTCTATGTTGAGACAAACAAGCTTGAGGGCATTGATAGCCCAGAGGAACAAATCATACAGTGGCTTACAAGAAATGGGAAACAAGATCAAGAACTAAACATAATGGCCATAGTGGGCTTTGGAGGTTTGACTGCACGGCTTTTGTGTCCGTGTCAAGAGGTCCCAGCATGAAGAAAGTTTTGATGGACTTACTTAAAGATGTGGGAGCTGCCATTGACCCAACAGATGATGAGATGCGTCTCATCAACAAACTCAGGGGACATCTTACGAAAAAGAGGTAAATAATCAATCATCATTGTTTATGAAAAGTTTTCAAATTGTTGTTTTGCTAAATGGAACTACATGATTTGTGGGTCCTATAGAGGAGAGAGTGTGAATTGGGTCACTTACAACTAATCTAGTGCCTATTACAAACTTAATTCAAGGTAAAACCTAAACCATTCTATGTATATGTGCAACTATGGTTTATCTAATGATACACCAAAAAAGAGAGAGACAGCCTATAAGCTCTCATATCATGCTACTCTATGAACGAAAAGGCTTGTCGTGGATCAAGGCAAGGAGAATGTAGAGAATGCCAAAGCAGAGGAGTGAGGGAAGCTAGAGGAATGGTAGGGGCATGGTCAGGATCACCACGGAAGGTCATTGGCTAAGGGGAACATAGATGAGGCCAAAGGAATGCTGGTGATGCAATAAGGGCAGCCATGGAAGGTCGTCTAGTTGAGAAGCGTGCGGAGGGGGCTGCATGCTAGAGGCCAATAGTTGATTGAGCCCACCCTATGAGGGACCAGCCCTGTTGACAACCATTTCATTAGGCTGCACTTGATTAGTAGCACACTAGCGCTCAACATGCATGACACATGACATGGCCCAACTCCATTGGTGCAAGAAACCGTTCCAGTGGCCTAGACCCTTTCACAAACTATCCTAGGTGCCATGTGTCAGCCACTACCTTTGGCAATGCACTTGTGGCCCTTGGGCATGGAAATTGGAACGATTTTTAGAGGCACCTGGATCTAAAACTGCCCCTAGAGACACACTAAGAGGGCCCAACAAATGGCCCAAGCCTTACAAATGTATTCTGGGGGGCGGGGGGTCACTGGTGGTACTAACAGCATCTGGAGATAGCCTCCATTTCTAGAGGCAGTTGGTAACACGAGGCACCCCTGAAATTCACATTGCTAGGTTGGAAAAACCAGCCTCCCCTAAAAATGAGGGGGCATTTCCAAAGGCAGTTGGTAATATCAGCCATCACGGGAAATAATGTTGGTTGGTAACATCAGCTGCTACCAACTACCTCCAGAAATGGCGCCCAAGAGCCCCCTTCTTCCTCCTGGGACGACATAACATGACTGTGGCCCAAGGAGAAGGGGAGCTCACAAGAGAAACCATAAAACTGTAAATCTAAGGGGGAATGTTTTGCTCTTGCTTTTCTTGGAGGAGGTGAATATAGAAGGAGGCATCCTACACTAACACTCAGGTCGTGTAGTGAGGAAAGATAAGGCTTGGTTAGAGAGATAGATTTTATGGATGCGTGAGAAGGCTAGAACGTGAGGGAAAACTAGAACAAATCAATGTTTGGGTCTCTAAGATGATTACCAGTAAGTGGTTTCTTATATGACCCACAGGTGACCCAAAACCAAAGAGTGATAGAGAGCCCCCGATCAATTGTTTAGGTGGCTTTGACATATCAGCCACATATGGAAAGACAAGGGATTTGTCAAAAAATCATTTTACCCCATAAACAAATCTGAGATTCAAAAGAAAATAAATGTTTTGTCGTCTTGGAAGAAAATATCTAGTGTCTCTTTGGTAGTCATCTAGATAATTGATTTCAAGGTAAATAACTTTCTATATATGTCACTTGAGTAGAACAGCTTGCTTAACTGTGCCTTCAAGTTTTCATAAATCCTAGGCCCCGTTTGAATCATGCATCTAAAATTTTTGTAAGCTGCAAATAACTGGAGAGTCAACTAATATCTTTTTATAAGCTAGGTGGTTAAAGAATTCATAATGTCTTACTATAAGCTGATCTTTTTGGATCAGGTAGAGTTTTTTTTAGCAGCTAACAATTTATTTTAGCTTATTCAAATAGGACCCTAATATGCCATGTTCTTTTGAGGCTACTTACTTTTGTTTGTGGCTTGAAAATATCTTAGTTTTGCTAACTTATGGCTTGTTATTGTATTCAATAGGTATTTTGTAGTGATTGATGATTTATGGGATGTTTCGGCATGGAGCTTTATCAAATGTGCTTTCCATCAGAATAATTGTGGGAGTCGAATAATCATAACAACACGCAAAATTGATGTGGCTAAGGCATGTTGCTCGTCCTCTAGTGATCATATTTATGAAATGCAACCCCTTAGCGTTGCTGACTCAGAAAGATTATTTTTTAAGAGAATTTTTGGTTCCGAAGAAAGATGTCCTTCTCACCTAAAAGAAACCTCCATCAAAATTCTAAGGAAGTGTGGTGGCCTACCATTGGCTATCGTTACTTTATCAAGCTTGTTAGCTAGTAAAGATCTGACATTGGATCAGTGGAATAGAGTGGCAAATTCTATTGGGTCTACACTTGAGAATAATCCAGACATAGAGGTCATGAGAAAGATTCTATCTATCAGTTATTTTGATCTTCCACATTATCTGAAAACTTGTCTTCTTTATATAAGTATATTCCCAGAAGATTACACTATAAATAGAAAGAGTTTGATAAATAGATGGATTGCTGAAGGATTTGTACAAGAAGAATATGGGCAAAATGCACATGATATAGGTGAAAGTTACTTTAATGAGCTCATCAACAGAAGACTGATCCAGCCATGGTACATTGATAATGGGCATGTTGTGACTTGTTGAGTTCATGACATGATTCTTGATTTAATCATAACAAAGTCCATAGAGGAGAACTTTGTTACTTTGTTAAACTCTCAAGAACTTACATCAATCCCACAAAATAAGATCCGAAGATTATCTATCCAATGTGGTGATGGAGAACCATCAGCTTTGGTACTGAAAGGGTCAATAGTGTTACCTCATGTCAGATCAGTGACTATCTTTGGGCATGGGAAGCAACTGCCATCTCTTTCAGACATGAAGGCTCTTCACGTGCTTGACCTAGAAGGTTGTAAGGAATTAGAAAATCATCACCTGGAAAATATAGAGAGGCTAATTGAAACGACCCGATTTCCGCGAAGGGAAATCTACAGAGTCGAAGTGTAATAAGACCGTTGTAGATCATATTACCTAAATTCCAGTCGAACATCACATCCATACAACGATAATATCAGAGTACAAATAGTGCGGAATTATATAAATTATTACATCACCGCATTGGCGGAATCAAAAGTAGCATTCATTCAGAACAGCTTGAAGATAAGATCGTCAAACTTGAGCGTAGGAACGAACCCCTCAACCGTCAAACTCCTCAGCAGAATCTGAGTACTAGTAAGTCCTTAGGGATGACCAAGCCAGAATATCTTCTTCAGGGTTTTCATTTACCGTGCCACCACAACACCTCCACCCTGGGCTCCTCCCATCACAGGTTCACACCTAGGGCCACCTCATATACCATTTACCCACCACAGGTATCCATTCCAGGGGTGCCGAGGTAGCACCCCACGGCAAGACTTGCCCCAGGCTCGTCGTATACTCCAACTTGGTCGACACAACCCTCACCCTCCACGCACCCATGTCACACACGCAACACTCTCCCCATAGTCCAGATAACACCAGTTTTCCACCACGCCTCAATGTAGTACAAGCGTAGTAGAAGTATTAAGCAATGAATTATAGCAGCAAACGTGTGACTAGCCTAACAACAGGGTGAGCAGGGGTAAGGTTGCGTCAAGGTAAAGGCCATCAAGAAAGCATACTACTATGCAAGTCCTATCATAGTGTGATCATAACAATAAAGTAAAATACTAGCATTTCTATTTTAGCCATGCGTAATAGGTGCTACGAGGTTGGGTGGGATGTGGCACCTTCAGTGTAGTTGTCTCCGTACTCCTGACGGTATTCATGATCCTCGTCTGTCCGGTTCTCCTCCGAGTCTGCAAACGATCGTATTATAGTCGCGTTAGCGACGTCTATAGAATAGCACAAAGAAGCAATGAAAATTCAAAAGAGCCAAATGCACTCCAACATGGGTTCATTACGTAGAGCTCGATTTTAGATGAATCTTGGTCCTGGTTTCATATTTTTCTGAGGTCGTAAGAATTAGTTATGAATTTCTGAAGATTAAATCATCTCTGAAAATGAAAAAAACTGAATTAATCCTAGGCTGATACGTGTCACGCTGTGACTGGTCCACGTGGCATGTGATGTCAGCATGACGTTAGCATGACTTCATCGGCTCGGCTCTGAGCTGACAAGTGGGGTCTAGCTGACGTCAGCATAACGTCAGCATGACGTCATCAACGTCATCAGTTCCGACAGGTGGGACCAGGGCTCTTGGGTCACTGACATGTGGGGCCAGGTCAACGTCAAGTCAACGGGCGAGTCAACGGTCAATGGGTCAGGGTCACTGACGTGTGGGGCCAGGGCTGCTGACGTCAGCATGATGTCACCTCGGCTGTGATGTTACTGACAGGTGGGACCCGCGTGACGTTGTCATGACGTCAGCATGACATCACCCACTGACATTTGGGTCCTGAGCCTCTGTGTCGCTGACACGTGGGGCCAGGTCAACCGTCAACGTTGACCGGTCAACGGTCAACACGGACCGGGTCCGAACTAGGCCGGTTGGGCCTGGTCAGGGCTGGATTTGGGCTGGGCTCAACCCGGACATGTGGCGTGCTGTGGCGTTGCCACGTCGTAGCCGAGGGCCTCCAATGTGCTTTGTCCACCGTTCGGCCCACACCGTGTGGCTCACGGTGGACTCATGTTCACGGTCCATGGACCGTTGGTTGGTCTTCGGTGGACCGAGTCCACCCTCCTTCCCTTTTGGCTTAGCCTACGTGCACCGAGTCTGAGCGCGTGCGTCTTGGCCGGCGAAAGCCCTCTGTTTCCATCCTCGGCGTGCTCCGCGCGGTGGTGTGCTCACCGGCGTGATCCTCTGGCCGGCGTTGGCGTTCAATTAAGGTGGGGTAAAGATTCCCGAGTGCCATGGCAAACACGATGGTGGGGTCTAGGTGGCGGCCGGGCTTTCGTGGCGTTAGCCATGGCGGTCGGCCCGGCTTGGTCGTGGCGGTGCTCTCCGGCCGGGCAGCTAGGAGCCGTTCAAGGGTCCTGTGCCCGTTCCGTTCGTTCGAGATCGCTAGCGGGCGGCATCGAGACAAGTGACGACGGCGACCAAAACATGTGGCGGAGTCCGCGGCGGTGATGGTGCACGGCGAGCTCCGTGAAGGTCCGATGCTCGTGGCCGCGCGTGTGGTTTGCTAATGGGGTCTCGGTCTCGCGCTACCCTTGAGCGTCATGGTGGTGCTACGGCTACGTCCCGTCCGGCGAGGCGGATCTGCGCGCGCAGTGGTGGCAGCGCCATGACGGCGGCGTCGTGAGCGTTGGCGTCGCGCGTGCTCTGCTACGACGTCCATGGGGCTAGGAGGAGTCTCAAAGAATGAGGGGCTCACCGTTGGTGTCGGCGAAAGGATGGCGGTGCGGGGGAGGTTGTGGCCATGTAGACGGAAGCGGTCAAAGGTCCGACCAGCGACCGCGATGAAGACGACGCGTCGTCTTCGGCTCCGACGACTTCGGCAGCACGCGGGTGGCTCCGATCCTCCTCTCCCGAACTCCTTCTCGGCCCTCTTCTCTCGGTGCGGTGCGGGCTGCTGGGCCACCAAGCGGCGGCGGTGGCTGAGGGATCCCTAGGGCTCTGGGCGTGGCTTTATAGCCCCCGATGCCCAAGCTCCATCTATGGCGGATGGGGCGGACGGCTGGTGATGCGCCGTTGGCATCGAACGGCATCGCGGGCGTGGGTGGTTGGCGCGGAGGTTGCGTGGGCGCGGCGCCAAGGGGATAGGGCCAGGCGATTCGCGTGACCCCGGGTCCGCGCCTGTCATTTTGGTCAAGTCACGGTCGGAGGCGGTGCCGGCATGGGGAGGAAGACGACACTGTGGAGGTGTGCGGCTGACGCGTGGGGTCCGGTGGCGGTGATGACAAGCGAAAGCGGGGGGCGCATGGCGTGAGCGTCATGTTGGGCTAATTGTTGGGCTGGCCAGCGTGAGTTGGGCCGGACCTTCTTCTTGGCACTGCCGAAAGCAGTGAGCCAATTTGAGCCTTCTTCCCTTCTTTTTCCTTTTTCTGTTTTATTTTTCTACTCCTTTGTTTGAATTCCAACTTGGTTTGAAATTTGAATTCAAAATTGGTGTACCATAGTCATTGTAGTTTTAGATATGAGGCCCACAACATTCTTTCATATATATATTAGGAATTTATTTAGCTATTTTGTATAACAAAAATAAGTGTAGTTTTGTTATACAAAAATGGAAATAGTTTTCTCTTTATACATTTATTCTTTGCTTTGAGTAATAACTACTTTATGGTTTATTTCTTTAAAGATGTTGTTAGACATTACACAAAACAAATGAAAATCCAAATCACCATTTGAGTTGACAATGTATGCTATGTTTCATTTGTCAGTATTTAAATAAACATGATAACAAATGACATGCCATGCTCATGAAATTGTCTAGTTGGGTTACTTCTAATGCAAGACTTAGGGTTGGCTCCTACAGATGTCACTCAACATTGCATGGGGTAACAGCAAAAAATTTTGTAGTTGTGATTTTTAGTGTGTGGATTTTTGGGTTGTTACAGTCCTACCCCCTTAACAGAATCTCATCCCCGAGATTAAAGTGTAACGTACTCTTCGAAGAGGTAAGGATAGTGTAGCCGGAGGTCATACTCTTTCTCCCATGTTGCTTCTCTCTCTGTGTGATTGTTCCATTGGATCTTGCACATAGGAATAGTTTTGCTTCGGGTTTCTTTGGTATCTCTGCCCAGAATTCTGATAGGATGTTCTTTATACTCAAGTGTATCTTGAATGTCAAGTGTATCAGTCGGGATCACTTCATCGGGCACTCTCAAACACTTGCGTAGCTGGGATACATGAAACACGGGATGTACACCCGCCAATTCTTCAGGTAGCTCAAGTTTGTAGGCGAGCTTTCCAATCCTCTTGCAAATCTTGTATGGGCCAACAAATCTAGGGGCAAGCTTGCCTTTCACATGGAACCTGACAGTTCCACGTAGCGGGGATACCTTGAGATAGACGAAGTCTCCCACTTTGAACTCAAGTTTTCTTCTTCTTTTGTCAGCATAGCTCTTGTATCGACTTTGAGCAATTCTCAAATTCTCCTTTACTTGAGCAACTCCTTCTGCATCTTGAATCTTAGCGGAATCAAAGAACGATCTTTCTCTCGGTTGGGACCACATCAAAGGTGTCTTACAAGGTCTGCCATACAGAGCTTCAAACGGCGACATCTTGATACTGGTTTGGTAGCTGTTGTTGTAAGAGAACTCTGCATAGGGTAAACATTTCTCCCAATCAGAGCCATAATTTAGTACACTAGCACGAAGCATGTCTTCTAAAATCTGATTTACTCGTTCTGTCTGTCCATCTGTCGGTGGGTGATAAGCGGTACTGAAATCAAGTTTGGTTCCAATCGACTTGTGCAGGGCTTTCCAGAATCGGGACACAAACTGAGGACCACGATCAGATACAATACTAGAGGGAGCTCCATGCAGTCTGAGAATATGCTCAACATATAGATCCGCTAATTTTTCTGCATTGGTCTTGGTCTTTACTGGTACAAAGTGAACAATCTTGGTAAAACGATCGACAATCACCCAGATGGAGTCATTGCCTTTCTGTGATCGGGGTAATTCAACTATGAAATCCATGGATATGCTCTCCCATT